CTATAATATAAGAAGCCCTTGTATTTGTCCGGGCCAAGCATGTTGAATAAATCCGGAATTTTGCAATGATCACAGACCTCATGATACACATCCAACTTACAACAAAGTATGACCTGCTAGTACAGGTCCGATCCTAGCCGCTCAATCCACACGTGTGTGTGTGTGTGTGTGTGTGTGTGTGTGTGTGTGTGTGTGTGTGTGTGTGTCCGCGACAGTGTGTGTGTATGTGAGTGTGTTCAAGATAAGTCGGATAATACAACTACAGCAGCGCATGTCTGATTTTTTTTTTATAATTATTTTTAATTTTTTATAATATTATTAGAATTATCCGGACATCCAGAGCTGTTCAGTCATAGCCGGACCGTCTGGGTCTGTCTGTCCGGTTGTCCGGTTCAGTGTCCGGATTACCGTGCGACCGGATTAATCCATACACGGGTACGTGCCCGGTGTCCGGTGTCTGGATGTCTGGGTCCGGGGCAACCATGCTAAAAACCTAAACCCTAAACCCTAAACCCTTAACATAGTTGAAGGTTAACCAGCATACAGAACGTTAGTGTCTGGTTTCAACAAGCAGTGCCTGTACAATGCATCTCCTTTTTTTTGGCTGAATGGGTACACAGTGCTACATACACATGTAACTCTTAGTGAAGAGTTCAAATCCTGACAGATTCTATTCGGGGCTAAACCCGGCGCCTTACCCCCCCCCTCCCCCCCTCCCCCCCTCCTGCCTGCCTGTATCCTCGTCTTCCAAAAGGCAGGACCTATTACCGTATGGACAAAATGAATGTCAAAAGATCTTCTGCGCCTCCAGTGTTTGCATGCCTAAAAAAAATAGAAAAAAAAAGATTTCCTGAATAAAGCATTTTTAGAATTTACAACAGAATAAAATTACAAATACTTTATCATAAAAAGAAAAGTTGACGACAACAAAAAGGAGTCATTAAAACACCCTTACCCCTGAACCCCCTTTCCAGAGCCTGCCCTTGCAGGCCATTCCAAAATTTGAGGGACTTGTCGGAGAAGAAGCTGATGGACGAATCTGATCCTAATTCTGGTACCCTATCATTGTTTAACAGCAGTTCGCCACAAACTCTGCATGGACCGGGGACCACAACCATCCTTGCAACCAGGCAGGAAAAAAAAGGGCCCTCTGAAACAACCAGAGGGGTATGAAGCCCCAATACTACTCCTGTGCTAAAACCAACCACATGTTAAGGACTTGCCTGCGGATTCACCCGGGGAACCCTGAGAACCCTGAAAGAAAGGTTTCCACGGCCTCATTGTGCTTAAACGACTGTGATTTATAGACGCCGTCAGCTAAATTCTGGTTGTTCGAGCTGTCGCTAACTCCAGCGCACACTGTCAGTGATTTGAACTATCGCAAACTATCGCTAACTCCAGGGTGCTACGGTCCAAACTATCGACAACTGCCGGGTGCAATGGCTCAAACTATTGGTAGCCCCAGACTGCTGTGGTAACTTATCGGTAACTCCACTGTGCTGTGGTTCAAACCATAGGTAATTCCATTGTGCTGTGGTTCAAACTATAGCTAACTCCAGGGTGCTGCGGTCGGGTGCCGTGGTTCAAACTGGCGGTAACTCCAGATTGCTGTAATTCAAAGTCTTGGTAACTCTACAGTGCTGTGGTTCAAACTGTCGGACAGTGTCGGTAACTCCAGGCTGCTGTGGTTCAAACTATTGGTAACTCCAGGGTGCCGTGGTTCAAACTGTCGGTAACTTCAGGCTGCTGTGGTAACTTCAAACTATCGGTAACTCCACTGTGCTGTGGTTCAAACTATCGGTAATTCCATTGTGCTGTGGTTCACACTATGGGTAACTCCAGTGTGCTGCGGTCGAGTGCCGTGGTTCAAACTGTCGGTAACTCCAGGCGGCTGTGGTTCAAACTATTGGTAACTCCAGAGTGCCGTGGTTCGAACTGTCGGACAGTGTCGGTAACTCCAGGCTGCTGTGGTTCAAACTATTAGTAACTCCAGGGTGCCGTGGTTCAAACTGTCGGTAACTTCAGGCTGCTGTGGTTAAAACTATTGGTAACTCCAGGGCGGTGTGGCTCTAACTAACTGGTTAACTCCAGGTGAGTGGACTTTAGGGTCGGGCAACTCTCCGCATCCCATCTTATCCCATCTAATGCCGTCACAACCCATCCCACCCATCCTGACCCCCTTTTCCAAACCTACCTTAGTGTTCACTCAGGCTAGTGGTCCCCTCGATGCATGTCACTGGATTCACTCCACGGTGACCAGATTCCGTTGAAAAGAACCAGCGTGAGCATGTCCTCCGTCCCCGTTCCCTATGCTACTTGCAACGCCAGTCACTCGCTCTATTGAATATCTACGCCTCCCTCACCCTCCGAACAACACACACCCCTGTCACCCTGAACCAGAACTGAGTTGGGGCAGACAGCTTGTGTGTGCTCATTATGACTGGTTCTTGCATTTGCAGGAAAAAGGTCGCCCTACACTTCACTTTAGATAGAGGGCGGGGCTGGGCATCTTCCCCCACTGAGCTCATGGCTACCATCTTTCACCCATCAAAGTAAGCGGTGCTTTACTGTATCTGACCTGAAAATTGCCCTGAATACACTTGCAATCACCCTGCATTTGATTCGTGGGAAGATGGTAGGCTCATGGCTACTTCCACGCTAGACTCCAGCTCCTGCCCCGGCTCCTGGCTTCTTGTCTGCATCTCTCCATCTCTCAAAACCTCCTCCTACTTTCCTCCTCTCCCCCTCGCCCCGTTTCTCC